AGAGTGAGCAGTGGTGTCAAGGAGACTGGCTCTGATGAGAGGGTGTTTGTGTTGTAAATATCTGCGGTTGTGATTAGGCCTTGATATATGCTTAGCAGCTCAGGGAAGGAGAAAGCATCGCATCCATCTCAGGAAAGCCGTGAATCTCTAGCTCTTTAATTCTCACATTGTGTCCCCAGCGCAGTGTCCACCTGGACACCTTACCCATCAGTATGAAGGAGCAGAAAGACCTAGCGCTGGGAGGATGGGCTGGAGTCCTAGCTCCTCGATATCAGTGGGTAACCTCCCATCACCCTCATTACCTCGCCTTCAAAGCAGGAATTGCTGGAGGCTTAGCCACAACAGCCACCATTGATGGTAGATTTACATGAGCACGGACCAGGTACAGCTGCTAAAGAGTTTACGTAAATTCATTTAATCCTCCAATGTCAGGTGAGATCCTTTACCTCCGCACTGGTAAGGGCTGTGCAAGCCCAAAGCCATCAAAGACAGGACAGAGGAAGCAAGCTATAGACTTAAAACTACGGAGTAGTTAGACTTAAAATTCTAAAGGACTAAGACCTTTCATAAGAAATGTCAAAACTCTCAGACCTTTATAGAAAAACAAGCAAAGATAGGAGTAAACAAATTTGGAGGGAAGCAAGTTCAGTAACGAAAAATATTTAAATATTTAATCTCACTGGTAAAGAAATTAAAATAAAAAGAATGCCTTTGGCCTATCAAATTTAAAGTGACAGCAGTTTGTTAAGTGAAAATCTTCAGTGTTAGCCAGTTTGTAAGAGAAAACTGTACCCTTTTGCATGGCTCGTGGGCATGTAAATTGAAGCAGCTTTCTGTTGAGCCATGTGACAGAATGTGTCAAGAGCCTCAACAAATGTTCACATGGAGCTGGTCTGGTAATTCCACTTCCAGGAATTTATCCTGAGGGAATAGTCCGACATGTGGGCAAGGGTTTATATAAAAATGTTAACTTATGTTGCTTTTAATTGGATGTAGCCTAAAAAACATAGGGTAGAGCCACTGACAGGTCTTAAAATTATTTTTAAAGAATTTTAAATGAGGAAATTTCTCAAAATAAAACAAATAATATAAACTCCATTTTTATGAAGAAAAAAATGCATACATAAAATGTAAAATCTATAGAGAAATACACTGAAATGTTAGCAGTGGTCTGTGTTTAAGTGGTGGGATTGTGGGTGACATTTACACTTGAGTGGCCAGATTATTATCTCTGAATGCATAATAATCTGGCCACTCAGTAAATATATATATATTAGAGGCCCAATGTATGAATTTGTGCATGGGTGGGGTCCGGCCAACCTGGGAGGGGATATGGGTGGTTGGCACGCTGGCCTGCTGGTTGAACTCCTGGTCTAGGGGACAATTTGCATATTAGCCTTTTATGATATAGGATATATACTGAGTGGCCAGATTATTATTCGTTCAGAGATCATCATAATCTGGCCACTCAGAGTATATTCTTAATGCTTTTCTTGATTTGTTGGGTCCTGAGAAAGAAGGGGGAAAGATTGTATATTATAGAACAGTCCTCTTCACACTGTTAATGAAGTATTTGGGTAGAGAGAATTGTAATTCGTGTAAATAGAATTCTTTTTAAGGCCTTCTCCTACATCTATGGCTCAGGTAGATCAGAAAAGGCAGACATGGAATCTAGGGCACATTCACACATTCACACCTGGGGTAGGTGTCTTCTTCAGATAACCCTCTTCCAGACCCCAGGCTAATGTTGGACACCAGCGAGTTGTTGAGCATAAGTCATTAAGGATCTGTGGTTATCTACTGTTTTTATATTTGGGTGCTCAGTTCCATTCAACAGTTTTCTGATTAGAGGACATTGAGTGAGACCCTCTTTTGTTTATTGTATGGATTGAGAAACAGGTTCACTGACTACATTCAATCTACATGGCAGATTCGGAGATTTTGAAGTGAATTTGTTTTAAATAAAGATTGATAGGGTTCTATTTTGGCAGGGCCATCACTGGTTCCAGCCCTGCTTTTTTGGAAGGGCGGGTTTCTTTAGTTAAGGTTCCCAGCAGTGCACTCACAAGTATTTATGAAATTAAAGGCATTCTGGCTTCCCTTACAACCTCATGGCTATTTTCTCGGAGCTCAGTGCTGTGCTAGCCCAATAAATCACATGAAATCAGTATCACAGCTGGAACTGTGTACAAGTAGTCTTTTGCTTTGTATTATACACTAAATTAGAGTTCCCAGACCCAATTCCAATGTGGGGGAATTCCATGTACACCCACACCAACAAAAGATTCTGGACACCAGCAGGGTGTCCAAGAATTCAAGTGAATTATGATGCTGTCAGCCCAGAGGGTTCAGTCCCATAAGGCCCTCCCCTGATGACCCTTGAGATGCCAGTTGCAATTCCAGGCATTGACCAACTGGTTATAAATCAAAGATTTCCACAGCCCCCTCTTTGAGTTCAATTAATTTTCTAAAATGGCTCAGGACTCGGCAGATCCTTTTACTTACTAGAACACTTACTAGAAAAGGCTATGACTCAGGAACAGCCAGATGAAAAGAGACATCAGGCAAGGTATATGGGAAGGGGCGCAGAGCTTCAATGCCCTCTCCAGGTGCCCCACTCTCCCCAAATCCTCATGTGTTCACTAACCCAGAAGTTATTCAAACCCCATCCCCAGAGGTGGGGAGAGGGGCAGAGACTGAAAGTTCCAACACTCTAGTCACATGGTGAGTTCTCCTGACAACCAGCCTCCACCTTAGATACTTTCCAGAAGTCACCTCATTCACATAACACTTAGGAAATTGTAAGAGTATTAGGAGTTGTGAGTAGGGTGTGGGCAAAGTCTATATATATATATATATATATATATATATATATATATATATATATATAATCTTATACATGGTAAGATCTCTCTCTCTCTCTCTCTCTCTCTCTCTCTCTCTCTCTCTCTCTCTCTCTCACACACACACACACACACACACACACACACACACACACACAGTAAATACTACTATGACGCACTTCCCTTAGTATATGCCAAAATGGGGGGGGTGGATGAGTAGATAAATAGAGATGTCATCGATAATTATGACAGCTGAAAGAATGCTTATAGTGTTCAAGGACTTAAAAATGTTGGAAGAAAGGAAAACAGAAATGAGCTTTCCTTGAATTAGAAGTCCTCAAATCTATTGAAACAAAATATCTGGTCCTAAAGCCGAGGGAATGGATATTTTACACATGATCTTAGCCAAAAGGCTGAGAGGCAGTGGGAATGTCTAAAGTCTCTACAGGAAATTCTGACGCAGCCTGTTGGGAACACTGGCTTAGCGGTATTGCTCTGGCATATATTTATTCTGTGCTGTCCACCTGTGGCACTCTTCAAATGCAGCTCATAAAATAAAAGTGGAACTTTTAATTAGAATGCAAACTGCTGCGTGTGAAGAATTTCTACCATGTTAGAGCAGCCTTGACCTTGGTCTTCGGGAGTCTGTACAACAGCACTTCTCTCTGCCCACACCAGTTTATACCGTCCCTGTATCGTGGGGACAAGCAATGCCGTCAACAGGCAAGACTGCCCTCCAATTGAGGGTGAAACGAAGCCATGTCAGCCCATCCTTCCAACAGGAGTGTGTTTCATCACAGTGATGCTCGGATGATGGCTCAGACCTTTCACGGTTAACTTCCTGGCTCCAGACCCTCCAGGAACGATCCAGGGGCCACTGTGCCGTCTGTAGCCACACCCAGGCACCTGAGCTGGGTTTTATAACTGAGTTTGCTCAGCACAGTCTTGACCTCCCCGCTCAGAACGTACAGTGCTGCTGCTGCTCACCACCTTCATCATCCCACAAAACCAAACCAGGGCCTCATTCTCCCCAGGATTTCTCACTCACGATGTTCGTTTTCGTAGCTGTTTTATTTTTAACTAAGGAAATCATTCCTGATCTTCTCTCCTGTCGTTTAAAGGGTTTAAAAGTTCAGCATGGTGAGTTTTTATGGGACTTTTATGGGAAGCCGGGTGTTGTAAACATACCCAAATTTATCTCCATAGTGCCGTTTGCCAGATCCTTTCCAGTGCACACCGGCCTGGCTTCCCTTCAAAATATGAACCAGATGGGTTCGATTAGAATTCTTCAGCTCTTCTACACAGCATGCTAGGCCATCTCATAGTCTGAGCCTGGTGAGATCAGGATGAGTCTTGAACAGAGGCGAGACAGAGCGTGGTGGCAGCAGAAGCTGTGTCTATCCGTCCGGGGCCCTGCCCCTGTGCCATAGTGTGGGCAGCCCCATCTTATAGAGGCTCAGTACATCATGGTTGAATAATGAATGAATGAATGAATGAATGAATGTTCTTGCCATAGAGAAAGTGGGCTGAAGGGATGATCAAAGGAAGAGAGAAGACAAGAATCAGTGAGAGGCCCCATTTGGGATAAAAACAATTGGATTTAGGAGGAAATACTTGCCGAATCTAGCAGGTAAGAAGAAAGATGACAGCTCCCGGAAACCTAGCTCAATGCTGGTGAAAATCTTTAGCACCACAATGGCGATTCCCTTGACCAGTGGTCGGCAAACTCAGTAGTCAACAGAGCCAAATATCAACAGTACAACGATTGAAACTTCTTTTGAGAGCCAAATTTTTTAAACTTAAACTTCTTCTAACGCCACTTCTTCAAAATAGACTGACCCAGGCCATCGTATTTTGTGGAAGAGCCACACTGAAGGGGCCAAAGAGCCAAATGTAGCTCGCGAGCCATAGTTTGCCGACCACAGCCCTAGACTAACAATAGGAAAGGCACCGAAGAACTGAAATTGCTCGCAGGGGTGCAACCAGGAGAGGCTGGTTTAATTCCAGCTCTTAATAATTCAAATGCTCTTGGCTGTGGCCTATGTATTTATTTTTTTCATCTAATGTTACAGTTCTAAGAAACTTAGCAGTTAGACCGCCTATGGTTGTGATGTATCTGTCCGCTTATCGGCATTTTTTATTTTCCTGAAATTTTAGGCACAGAAAAATGAGAGAGAATCTATCCGACAGAAGTTGGCACTCGGGAGCTTCTTTGATGATGGCCCAGGAATTTATACCAGCTGCAGCAAAAGTGGGAAGCCAAGCCTTTCCTCTCGGTGAGTGTTCCTTTCCATTGATTCTCTGATATGTGTACCTAATGGGTTTTGTCATCTGACCACTTGTCTAATAAAAGATATCCTTTAAGTCCTTGAGTAATTTTTTTTTCTTCATAATACTATCAACTTTATTTGGATTCTGGACAGACTTCTCCCATTTGTTGGGTTTGTTTATTGGGGTTTAGTTTTGGGGCTTTTTTGGCCAGTTTTTCCAAGGCACCTGAGGTCAGATTTCTATATTTCATTTTTTTCAAGACACAGTGCAGTTTTTGCACTATGATGGGGGAATCAGGGCACACTCCAAAGCTGGCTGATGCTTAGAGAAGCATGGCAGATCACCAGATTTCCCATTAAGCAGTCCCAAAGCACCCGGCATTGCTCCCCTCTTCCATTTGATTGTAGTGTATACCGTAGCTGAGAAACACAGTTCCCACTTTGAGCATTTGATGTTTATTACAGAGCTTAGCTTGTCCTCCAGGCAGTTTTTCTTTTATATATCATATATATATATTTTTAATTGATTTCAGAGATGAAGGGAGAGGGAGAGACAGAAATACCAGTGATGAGAGAGAATCATTGATTGGCTGCCTCCTACACGCCTCACACTAGGGTTGGAGCCTGTAACTTGGATATGTGCCCTATCGGGATTTGAAACATGACCTCCTGATTCATAGGTCGACACCCAACCACTGAACCACACCAGCCGAGCCAGGCAGTTTTTGTTTATCTTAATTTATTTCAAGATATCATTGCTTATTTATTACCATTTCAGGATATCTTTGATTACTTGCATACCTTCCAGCTCCAACTAAAATTATAATTTTACCTGGAAGATAAGGCTATCAGCCAGAACTTCTCAAACTGTAATTAATGTGCATGTGAAAACCCTGGGGATTTTGTTAAAATGCTTGTGCCCGTTCTGAGTCGCTAGGCCTGGATGGGGCTCAAGATGCTGTTTCTAACAAGCTCCCAGCTGATGTGCAGACTGCCCATCCATTGGTGACACTTTGCTACGGGAGGATATAGACAATCTCAAAAATTAACTGTTACAAGTATAGATATTCGAGTGGTTAAAACACTCAGAACTTTGGTTTAATAAAGGTGGTAGTGACTGAAGACCCATCAGTGTTCTCTTGATGCCTCCTCAGATGGCTATTTCTGGTTGGAATGCCTGCGTCTTCCTTTGCGCTAAGAGGAAATGCTCTCTGTATAAATACTAGATAATTTCACCATGTTAGGCCAGGTGTGGGAGACACATGATGGCAGTTGCACACTCATTCACCCAATGGGTTTTCACTCTATCCTTCATCTGAAGCCTGGAATTTTAGACACCCTCATATCTATTTATATCTCTCTGGCTCTCATTACGCCTTGTATTTCAATCTGATTCTTAGACTCACCCACTAGTCAATCAGCAAGAATCAGAGAGCACACACATGGTCACATATAGGCATGTTTAGGGCCCCTACAAGTGAGTTAGCCCGTCAGGGAAGGGGCTGCCGTTTGGCCATGCAGAGTTGAGGCACCCCTTCCTCATTCCCACGCTTTTCATGTGCCTTTCCAGAGCCTTTCCCTTTGCTGCAGAGACACCTGTTCCCCCCACGGTGGGATGCGGCAGGGAGAGCTCAGGCCTGGGCACCTGGAGACTTGAGGATTAGTCTTAGTTGAGCTTCTAATTTTGAGACTTGGTGTTATCATGCCTTAGTTTCATTTTCGTAAAATGAGGGGATTGGACCGTAAGTTTTATTTTATTTTTTTTATTTACTTTTTTTTTATTAAGGTATTATATGTGTACATACCTTACCAATCCCCATCCCACCCTCACTCCCATACATGCCCTCCCTCCCCAGAGTTTTTCGTCCATTGGTTATGCTTATATGCATGCATACAAGGCCTTTGGTTGATCTCTTATCTCCCCCATATCTCCCTACCCTCCCCGCTGTAATTTGACAGTCTGTTTGTTGCTTTACTGTCTCTGTATCTATCTTTTTGTTCATCAGTTTATAATGTTCCTTATTATCCATAAATGAATGAGATCATGTGGTGTTTTTCTTTCATTGACTGGCTTAGTTTTAATGGATTTCTGCTACTGCTCTCTGATGTTCCCCAAAATGCCAAGAAGTTTTCTTCTGGAAACTCCATTTCTCTGCAATGTCAGATCTATCGGGTCCAAATGGGAGATTCTTGTTTTTTTAGATGAAAGTTAGTTCGATAGACAGATATAGACATATACATGCATACACGCATGCATACATATATATGGCTGTGAAAATGAAATAGAATCAATGAAAACTACAAGGCGTATAATAACACTAAATAAAAGTAACAGCCCTCTCTATCCTTGTCCCACTCTCCAGAAATTTTCCAACTCTTTGTTTTTCTGGAATTTACCTGCATATCTCTGAGTAAAATGATTATCTTCTTAATGATTTCTTTTAAATAACCATCTTTTGACCACCTACTGTGGGAATTTGGGACTTACCTCTCTTTTATTGCCCCCTCACAGCTACATTTATACTAGTATATCCCAAACCCTGTTCTCTTCATGGCCATTTCACCATTTGAGGTCACATAACTATTCAATGTTGACTTTATTAAGTTCATGTATTATTCATACTGAGCCATATGCTAATCTATGATTACTTGAAAAATTATGTTGTTTGTCCTGAATTTAAAATTGCCCCATTTTTCTTTTGGCTGATCTGTGATTTCAACTGTTATATCATATTCCACTGTGTGAATATAATCAGTTTCTTCTGCCACTTTTCTGATGATGGGTATTGGATTGTTCCAAAGGTTTCACTCTTGTAAACAATGCTGCTTATAAATGTGCTTGTACGTGTCTCTTCCTGTCAGTGTGCAGGAGTTTCTCTTTGGTGTATACCTAAGAGTGGAATTGCTAGGAAAATGCATGATTGCTCACATTTAGACAATAATGCCAATCTGATTTCCAAAATGGTTGCAACAAGTTCCATGCCTACCAGCAATGTCTCAGAGAGCCTGTGGATCCATAACTTTTCTAACACTTGATATTGCCAATTTCTTTTAAGCTTTTATTAATTCAATGGATATAATATACTATTTCATTGTGTTTATTAGACATCCTGTTTCCTCTTCTGCAAAATGTCTATGTGGGCCTTACTGGATTCTCTGTGCTTTTTAAAATTAATTTATCAAAGTTGTGTAATCATAATACTAATCCTTATTACGTTGTAGGTATTGCAAGAATATCCTCTCAGGTTGTAGCTTATCTTTTTCATTCTTCAATATATCTTTTATGACTACAAGTTCTTAATTTCAATATAGTAAATTTTTATCAAACTTTTCTTTTAGAGTCAAGCTTTTCTATGTCTAATATATATATTTAAAAAAATCTTCTTCTACCCCAGTGTCCAAACGTCATACCAAAAGTTGAAAGTGTTAATTTTTTTTAAAGTCTGTAATAAATCAGGTTTCTGGATATGATACAAACAGAGCAAGTGTAGAGGGTCTAGATAGTCCTGTCAGGTGTTGTCAAATACCTCTCATCCATCTACATTTTATCTCCCAGATTTTTTCAAACTCTCTTGTGTGCTATTATCATCTCTTTCATTTTCTTTGTGTAGGTTTATACCTTTTTTTCTTCCTTTATCATTATAGTAGTAGGGTTTCAGAGGAGAGATTAAATAGCTGTGTTCAGTATGCCATGTTTAAATAGAAGTCTCATGAAGGTTTTTATTTTATTTTTTAATTATGGTTTACATTCAGTATTATCAGTATTATTCTGCATCAGTTTCAGATGTACAGCATAGTGGTTAGTCAGTCCTGTACTTTACAGAGTTGGCCCCCCAAATATCTCCAGTACCCACCTAACGCCATGCATAATTATTATAATACTAGTGACGCAGTACATGAAATTTGTGCATTTGGGGTGGGGCGGGGGAGAGGAGTGTCCCTTAGCCTGGCCTTTACCCTCTCCAATCTAGAACCCCTCAGGGGATGTCTGATTTGCAATCCAGGACTGCTGGCTCCTAACCGCTCGCCTGCCTGCCTGCCTGCTTGCTCTCCCCCAACTTCCCCCCTCCCCCTCACCTCCACCCCCCCATTTGCCGGCCTGATTGCTCCCAACTGCCCTCCCCCTTGCCGGCCTGATCACTCCCAACTGCCCCCTCCACTGATCTGTTCATCCCCAACTGTACTCCCTGCCAGCCTACTTGCCCCCTGCCTCCCCCCCTGCCAGCCTGCTCATCCCCAACTTCTCTCCCCCTTGGCCTGATCAACCCTAACCACTTCTGCCTCAGCCCCACCACCATGGCTTTGTCTGGAAGAACGTCTGGAAGGCCTCCTGGAAGGTCTCCCGGTCTAATTAGCATATTACCCTTTTATTGGTATAGATTACTTGCTATATTCCCTATGCTGTGATTTACATCTCTGTGACTGTTCTGTAACTACCAATTTGTACCTCTTAATTCCTTCGCCTTTTTCGTCCAGTCTCCCAGCCCTCCTTCCTTCTATCAACTGTCATCTGTTCTCTGTATCTCGAGTCTGTTTCTATTTTATTTGTTTATTTTCCTTAGATTCCACATATACCGTATTTTCCGAAGTATAAAACGACTTTTGAAACGAAAAAAAGCCTGCTCAGATTGGCCAGAGTCAGAGAGGCGGTCTATTAAAAAAAGAACTGGTGTTGCCTCGGAAGTGGGGGGTAGTCTGATACAGCGAATATAGGCCTAAACCTATGTTTTAACTGTAAAATTAGGGGGGTCGTCTTATACGCCGGAAAATACGGTAAGTGAAATGATAAAAGAAATATCTCCTCCAATAAAACCCTGAACAGAAACCCTGTGTGTAAAACAAGGCAGTCCTCCTCTGGCTCAGGAGGACTGAAGGAGAAGGACTGGGATAACCCTGCCTGAAAAGTGCCACTACACCCCCCCACCCCACCCCCGGCCGCCGCCTTCCCTTCAGTGCCCCTCGCCACCCCTCCCCTGCAAGCCCCCAGAGCCCACCTGAAACCCTCT